TGTGAATCTGCTGAGGCCACATAGCCACAGTGGACACCTTTTTGAGGAATCAGGAATCTAGAGAGCACGTGTCAAATTACAGTTCCAAGCCTCCATTTTACATGACCTTCGTGGTAAAGGGGATAAGAAACTGCTGCATATAGCTTGGAAAATGATGCTAATTCTGGAGCTACTGTTGGTTAGTGAAATTGCTATTTTCTTTCTGATAAAAATTCATCATATATTATTTGATTATTTCCTCTTCCCTGTTTTAAATGCACTCCACCCTTCCTACTCGATTACCTTGCCTTCTGAATGTAATTTAAGAACGTTGGAACAATTAGCTTTTTCATTCAAAGTAACTCATAACTGAAATTATGCTGTCCTTGTGCATTATTAAAAACAACAACAGTAACCAGGTATGTTCAAAGCCTATACAATATTCAAAATCCTCTTTAATATTCTAGTTCATAACCTTAATAGACATTTATACATGATTAATGAGGCTTTCAGTAGCTGTTGCTGTCACAGCTTGGGTAATGCCACCTCCGATGAATATTCCAAGGGAAGGGTCTTACTGGCAGTGTCTGGGTGACAGCTGTGAAGTAGCAGGCTGCAATGTACTTTCTGACAAGAGAAACAAAACCCAAAATGAAACAATATTCTGTCCTATAGAATTGCAGACTATTTAAAAAGCAGAACATGGGAACTGGTTATATCAGGGCATATTTTATATCACAGATTCACTAACAAAGAAATTATAAAGCGTTTCTAAATGTGATCCCACTGCCATGCTATAGCAAATGAATAACTTAAGTTCTTAGATATAAACACATGGATGAGTAATGTAATTCCTAATTACATCAAGAACACGTAATTTTAGGACACAGCACTGCAGAGAGAGGTATTTGATTCTGGAGCCCTGAAACATACAAAGAAAGAAAGAAACAAAAAACTGCAAAAGAACACAAAAAAAAGAGCACAACATTTTTTGCTATGACAACTCAGTTAGCTCAACCTTTTTGCTTAGTGAAAAAAAGACTGAGAGGTGATTTGACTACTATATGTTCATATAGTATGAACATAAGTATGTTCAAAGGGAAACATACCCAGGCCTGACAGGGGAATAACTAGTATGGATTCACCAAGGGTAAATCACGCTTGATCAATCTGACTGCCTTCTGTGATGAAATGACTAGATCTGTGAATAAGAGATGACCAGTTGACGTGATCTCCCTTGAATTTAGCACAGCTTTCAATATGGTCTCCCACAGCATCCTTTTATTCAAGTTGGGTTTTTACAGTCTATATGGGTGGACTACTACATGGGTGAAAAACTAGCTGGAATGTTGGGCTCAAAGCATGATGGTTACTCATTCATGCTCTGTCTGGATGTCAGTTACATGTGAAGTTCCTCAGCATCTATTACGTGACCAGTCCTTTTCAATATTTTTATCAATGACTCAAAGGAGAAATCAGAATTCACCTGTATCAAGATTGCAAATGACACCAAGCCTGGGGGTTGCAGTCAATACACTCACACCCAGGGGGACCTTGACAGGCTGGAGGAATGAACAAAGCGAAGCCCTCTACCTGGGAAGGACTAACCTTCTCATAACGGCACAGGCTGTGGACTAGTCCTGCTGGGAAGGACCTGTAGTCCTGGTGGACAGAACATTAAACATGAGCCAGCAGCATGCCTGGACAGTGACGAAGGCCAAAGGCCAATGGCATCCTGGGCTGTATAAACAGGAACATAGCAAATAGACTGAGGGAAGTGACCATTCCCTTTTACTTGGTACTCACTGGACCACATCTGGAACACTGTGTCCAGTTTGGGGTCCCAAATATAAGAACAACATTGATGAAGTTCAGCGTAGGGCTATCAAGTTGTACGGGGGATGAAGTGTTTGCCCTGGGCTTGTTCAGCCTGGAGAAGAGAAGGCTCTATGGGACTTACCAGCAGCCCCCCAGTATCTACAAGCAAGTTGCAAGAAGACAGCCAGGCTCTTCACAGCAATACATGGTGAGGGGATGAGTGACATCAGACATAAATTGAAGCAAGGGAGGTTCAGACTAGATATAAGGAGGAACTCTTCCACCTGAGGACAGTCAAGCAGTGGCACAAGTTGCCCAGGGAGGCCATGTAGTCTCTATCCTTGGAGGTTTTCAAGACATTACTGGATAAAGGCCTAAGAAATCTTGCCTGACCCCAAAGCCCACCCTGATTTGAGCAGGAGTTTAACCAGAGAACTCCTGAGGTCCCTTCCACCCTGAATAATTAAGCGAGTCTATGAAGATACCAGGTACTGACAATTTCTTTAACTTAGTGAAGAAAAGTATAACAAGAACCATTTACTTGAATCTAAAGCCAGATGAACTGAAAAGAAAACTTCTAGCACTGCCTGTGATTAACCAAAGAAACTAGTGCCAGAAGACAGAGAGGACTCTTCACTCCTGCTGGTTTCAAATCAAGGCACAATGCTGTTGTGGGACATTTTTTACTCAAGTATACACAGAGAGCTTATAAGATAAGTAAACTGTGTGAACCATAGTGGAGTACAAAACAAGAAGTCAGATAAAATGACAAAATGGCTTTAACTCTCTGCCCATAATACCTATAATTTAAGGAAAATGCTAGCTATTATTCAGTGAAATAAATATTTTAACTGACCTTTTTTTTTAACCAACAAAGATTAAATCATGTCCCATCCAAATATTAAAAGAAAAAGAAAGCAGATACAGAAAAATAACAGAAAGAGTTACTAACTTTATATACTTTCCAGTCCTTTTCCAGTGCAAGGCTTCTTAATAGGTAATGGGCTTTGCTCCCTGGTTTGCATTTAAGATTAATTCACACTGAGAGCTTTAAGTCACTTCAAATACCATGTAGCAGCAAATTTCAAGATTTGTATTGAGCTCTCTGTAAAAACAAAGGATTTTACACACACAAGAATTTAAAGCAGCATGCCATTATCAATTGTGGACACAATTGAAATAGTCATTACGACAAGGCAGCATAAAATTCTTCTAAAAGCAAAAAGGTGAGGCCTGCATTTGCTCAGCTTTTAAAAATAAAAAAAATCTGTACTGTTCTGCCTGCCAGATCATTAGTTTTCAAGTATGCAGCCAGCACCCCTTATATTTCCAATTTAACATGAATCCCATAAATGTTTCATTCTAGAATGAGCTCATAGAATTACTGCCCGTTAAGGCAGAATTTTAAGTAACCAAATAAATTTGCATAAGCAAATATTTGTACCTGGCATGTAACTAATTCAGAAATGTATGTAAAACACACTGAAAATCTTTACATGCTCTTACTTGTAATTTAACTTGGAATCCAATTTTGTTTTGAAACAAAGCACAAATTCGTCAGCCAAGGTTACATGAAAGAAGCTTGACATTTTAAACAATGCCTTTTTTAAATTATCAGATTGTAAACTAGTGCTTGAACAGTTTTTTAAAAGGCTGAAACACCTTTCCTCGTGCTAAGATAACTACAAAAGCTGAACAGCTTTTTTTACTCTTGCCAAAATAACACACCTATTGTCAAACATAAAATACTCCATCTCAAAAAAAAAAAAAGAAGAAAGCTACAAAGTAACAAAAAATAGAGATCCAGCATCTTCTAACCTCACCTAACTGAAGTATCACTGCTGAACTCCTTTAAGGCCAGAAAAAAGTTCATCAGACAGACAATTTAAAAGGCAAAGTAGTGGTTAATCCAAGTCCGATTATAAAAAGTGCTAGTTATATAGCTGCAAGGCAATGTACCTATAAACTTGAGGATAACAAAAAATAGAGATCCAGCATCTTCTAACCTCACCTAACTGAAGTATCACTGCTGAACTCCTTTAAGGCCAGAAAAAAAGTTCATCAGACAGACAATTTAAAAGGCAAAGTAGTGGTTAATCCAAGTCTGATTATAAAAAGTGCTAGTTATATAGCTGCAAGGCAATGTACCTATAAACTTGAGGATCTCCACCTGAAGAAAGAAGAGGACAGAAAGATATTCCAGCTATAGCAACCCACTGCCACCCAGAGGGATATGGATTCAAACTGATTTTACATAAAGAGATTTTACATAGGTATTCATTGATTTTCTGCATTCAGCCTTCTAGCACAAGAAGCATAGAGGCAGTGGCCAGAACTAATAATCTTCACACAAAGGCAAGAAAAGAGCCTCATGTGTTTGCAGGTTTAGGCCATGAAGGCATTTATGTAACTAAATCAGGAGCCCATAAAACATTTCACATAATTCTTTGCTGCTACATTTACACCTCATAGAACAGAGTCCTACCACTGTCCGACATTCCACAAACTAGGTACCACCGTGTGTTCCCTGGTCCAGTGAGCAGCAGCGCACTGGACCACAGGACAAGAGAAAGCCTGCAGCTGAGTGACCGTTACCTAGGAGAGCCCACTATGCAAAGATCCATGCCAGACACACATTTCCCTGACATGTAATGTAGGCCCTCCGTGCTCTCATAGCTAGATACACTTCCTGCTTCGTGTCCCAAAATCAGACTCAGTGGCTCATGTTATCCATACATATAACGTCTAACACACAGGTCCATAAAGAGAAGAGTTGTGTAAAGAGTGCCCAGAACACATACAGATGCCTTTTTAAAAACTTTCAAATAATATTAAGGGCAGATCTGAAATGAGACATTAATTTTAATTAAAAGTAAAATCTTACAGGGCACAGGATAGATCAACTTTTAAAAATTAGAAAACACAGAGAAGACATGAGTAAGGTGGGGTTTTTTTGTTGCACTTTTTAGAAGTTCAAAGATGAGAGGAAAATCAGCTAACTGGGGCCAGCAATTACCTCCTCAGCAGTGAGAACATGGTAAGGAAGGCCCTTTGCTGAAATCTGTACCTTGGGAAATATTTCCTATGCAAACCAAACCAGATTTATTTAAATAAAATTAATGATGACTGATCTGCATTTGCCTGCCCTCATACAAATCATTCAACACCCCACGCTCCACCCCCAGCCATTATTTCCCTCCTACCTTCAAAACTCCCAGCAAACAGATAAATCCACGTAATGGCTGGGACAAAAAGAACGGTCAGAGAGGCAGCCAGGAATTTCCGTCGCCCTCTGCAGATTCCCAGCATTCTCTCGGGAGTGCAGATTTCCAACCCAGTGCTGTTCCTATGTCGGAAGCAAATAGTCCACAGCCTCCCACATATTAGTCCCTGAAAAGGAAAGGAAAAAATGTTTTAACAGCTTATCTCTCTACAGAAAGGTAGACTATGCCAGTGTTCCTAAAGAGTTAAAAGAACAAGGCTAAAAACAGGGTTACCACAATTTGAAAGCAGTACCCGTTTCAGCATTATCCATGACTACTTAATAATAAAGCAAGTTTTAGAAGTCAGACTAAGACAGTAAGTCAACAAAACACATCATATCACCTAAACACACAGGGCTAATCTTACAAAGAGACATCATCTTTATTTGTTTTTTCACCACCCTTTTACTCTACAGAAATTCTGGGTTCTTTGACGCCTATGTGTGGTGGTGCCCCTGGGCAGATAAGAGAAAGCCACCTGTATTTCTTCCCCTGCTCCCAAAGAGCAAAAGTCACACCAATGAATCAATGAGCTGGCTGCAGGTGGCCATGCACTCAAGAGGGTGAACTGAAAAATGAAAGGTAAAGTTTGGGGGCAGAGGGATGTTATTAAAATGACCCACTTTGCTAATCAAAAAGCAATGCTGATGAACTGCTATATAAAAGGGGAGAAGAGAAAGAGCAAAATGGGCAAGGAAGCTTCCTTAGGCACAAAAGGGGATATCAGGAGCTTTAGACTGTATGTGACGAGAAAAGAAGGAGATTCTGGAGAGCACCGCTGGTTCGATGAGAAAAAAAAAAAAAAGAATCTGAATTTGTTTAAATTATTGTTCTGCATTTCACAGAGGCCAAGATGGCAAAATAATCTGATGATTTTTATTCACAGGAAAATTAATATTCCCACACTAGTGCAGGCATTGCAGGGCATAAAGATAACATTTCTCATCTTTACCTTTTTTTTTGAAAAGGGAGGAAAGGCTGGTGTTAGACTAGAGAAGTTGGAGAAGGAAAGGGAAGTATTAAGTCCATGCATATCTAGTTCAAGCTTTGTGTGAAAGGGCTTCTGTTTTCTAATTTTAAAAAAAGAATTGGTCTACAAGAATGATAGGGAAAGAAACACAGGCTATGGCAGTACAAGGTGTTTAGTAACAGTGCCCTTTGGCTTGTGCTTAAACTAGTACTAGAGCTGAAACCAGCAATTAAAGCATTTCTACACTGACATCTAAACAATGGCCACTGTGTGCCTTGAAAATATGTCTGAGCTCTACAACTCCATGTATATTGCAGTGAAAGTCAATTCTGAAATCAAATTACAACAAAAATGAGAATTACAAAAAAGAGAAATGAGTTTAGACAAAGAACTCTGCTGCTGGAGATACCTGGCTGCAGTAATCAGGCAAACTTACAGCTGTTCCTCAAACGTTCAATAGAGCCCACTTTACTACACTACAGTTTAAGAGCCGTGATAGTACTCCTGACCTTGGAACTGATAAAATGGACTATAATTTGTCCAGAGCCAGCACAAAAAGCATTCCATTGTGTCAGCTTTTCAACACAATGAATGCCTCACCACAGAGATTTTGCACAAAATATGTGGACAGACTTAATATTAACAACTGTGGTATTAGAGTCACTGTGTTAGACAGAGACACACATTTGGTAGATAAATTGTGGAGAACTCCTATCTTTATTCACTGTATTTGGATAACGATTACATTTCATTTCTTTTCCTTATATCACATAGCTTGTACAACTATTCTGAAGACAGTCCTTTACATGCCTACTTGAAAAACACAGATAATTCTCCTGGCTTATGCGTTTTACACTTGCTATATGTGTGTATATTGTAAAGTGCACATAATCACTTACTTTAAGTAGGAATATTATTATTTTTTTCCTGTAACATCATGGTGTGCAGCACTGACATCAATCTGTGCATGTAAAAATGAATCTTTGAAAACACAAACTCACAAGCAGGGTCATTCTCCAATAGCAACGTCTTGTAATGCAACGTGCATTGGATACATACTGCTCCTACCAATGATACCTGTAAAACCCACAGGTAGCGAAGTAAGAGTCAACACTACATGTTTCTGAAATCATGCTGTTACAAGTGCACTGATACCGGTTTTTGGGATAATGACACCCAGACTCTGAGGCCTGGGGTTATAGTGCTGCTAGTGGATCAATTAATCCTGGGGCTGCATATGTAAGAAATAATTCATTTTTTCCTACATATTTTTTTAAATATCCATGCATGCTAAGTCTCTGAATAGGTCAACATGGAGGATGAAATCCAGCTTTTCTGCCCCATGAATGTAAAGTACTCTAACAAATTAAGAAAATATAAGGAGCAACACTGAACTCCCAATTCAGCTACAAAAGAAAGCTACGAATGTGGCAAATTCAGCTTTCTACAAATTGTCATCATTCAGACAAAACAGCCAAATCATTCTGCACATTCATGCATACCTTCTGTCTAACTAGGAAGACATTTGGGAAAATCCTAGACAGACAAGTCAGCTTGTGATGGATCATGCTAGGAAATGTTGAGATACTTCTTTTAATGGTGCTTTAAAAGAAGAAAGAGCCATAAACTGTTTTAAAGGAAGTTTCTACTATCTTCCCACCTCTCCAAAGTTGTGAATAGCTTCCCTTGAGTCTTAAATATTCATTTTCAGTGTATAAAATCACCACACCTGCTGACTATTTTTTTCCAAACTAGACAATGCATCATGTGCAAACCCTACACAAGCAATTGTATAAACATTCATTACCGTGAATGGTAATGAAGATGCTTAGCTTGAAGGAAAAGCTTTGGACTCAATCATGTATTCATTATTGGCTTTACTTGTAAAGAATTTTACCTAACATACCATCGTCAAATTGAAAGAAGATATTGCAGTTCTTCGACTTAGTTTTCCTTTCAGTTCAACAGGTGCCAGATGGGTATCCGTCATGAAAGGAAAGTGACTGACAACACTGGCTGGAGCAAGGGCTGAGCACAGAACAGGAGAGTACTGTGCACATTTCTGCCATATGAGCTCACCATTGCCTTTTAGACTTCTCCTACAGCATCCACTGCTCCTCAAGCCATAGTCCTATTGAATCAGACTGTCACCTGCCTAAAAGGTCTTAGAAAGCAGTTTCATGGTACAGGCTAAAAATGAAGCTACTTCGGATGCGACACTGGTAGCTATATTAATCTTTTCAGTAATAGCAAACACTATTAAGACGGTTCACTTCATTTACACAAATCCATGCAGTGTTCCTCCTGATAGCTTTCAGTCTTAACAGCTGTGCTAACTGAACACTTGTAGTCAGAAATACATAGCATGAAATACGTTGGAAGAAAAAAAAAAAAGGATAAGGAAGTAACTGGCCAATTTAATCACGGGATCTAGGTGCGATACTCCGATCAAAAAACAGCCAGTGGCTCCTCTTAATCTGTTCCCCAATGTTAGTTTTTTCAGATACACTAACTGAGCCACACTGAACATCCGCAACTTTAACCACCTTTATTGGATTTATCTCAAAGCAAGGGAGATCAAAATTAGCTCCAGAGTGAAAGGGAACAGTTGAGAGAGTTTCTGGTAAGGGGTTTGCAGTTTGAAACATGGTCTCAGCTTCGCTCCTCCAGACACAACCAGATTTTCTGCCTGTGCCACAGATCCAGAGAAGGTGCATGCATTTCAGGATATTCTTATACCTTGGTCTTCAATTTTTAATCTATTGTATGTGCTCCAAGAGCATCATATATTTTAGAAATCTGATGAAATAAGTAATATCCACAAAAGTTAGCTGTATGTACATCGTGCATGTACATCTTGCTGTCAGCAAGTCAGATGCTCTACACTTCTACAATACACCCAGTTCAAGATTTATAAGACCTACTGCACATGTACAGATCAACAGACATTAATACAGCAACCTCAGGCCAGCTCATCCTTGATTACTGCTAATGGTGCTATAAAAGGCTACTAGCTTGGACAATGCCTGTGTGAGGGGTCACAGTGAGAATTGAAATCAATCGGGTTTCTCATTACGAAGACTTAGTCATGACCTTCTTACCACATGGCAACAGTGAACGGAATGACTTCTGTTACCTTCACATACGGTCAGATGCTTCCATTAACTACACTACCCTGTCAGAGCGGTCGCTTTGTTTTAAATGAAGGATTATCTCCTCAGCTAAGTGTGAAGCAGCTCTCAACCAGTATGAACAGCACATATATTAAAGCACGTAACACAACACTAATCACATTGGTATTCAGTTTAGTAACAAAAAGGTAGGGTGTGGAATAAACCCATCATTATGAAATAAAAGATAAAAGAATTAAATGGTAAATCTTTATTTAAATAAACATCCCTTTTTTAATATACTCCATTTCTCAAGTTCTTAGAACAGAAATAGCATTTTAAAGGAAAATGCTATCTCCTCTCTCATCAACCTCTTCTTCTTCTCCCACATGGAAGAACATGCTACAGAAACAAATGCAAGGCTCCCTTTGCTCTCAAAATCTGAATTTTCTTGTCATTGGAGATCTTGCCCCTGAATCAGACTTCTTAATCCTATGGTATTGTGACTTTAAAGAAGGATTTGGAGTAAACTCAGAGTCAGCATCCACCTCAGAAGTTCTGTGAAACCACTTTAAAGGTACAGATTACAGCAGAGTTTCCAAATGCTACCAAATTTGCTCTTTCTCAACTAGTTACAAGAAAATAGTCCTATCTATAAGAGAGAAAATAGCCGGTAAGTTGACAGTACAAATGACTTCTGCCTTGGAACTGTGCTAACTGCTCCCAGAGCACAGAAGATTGACACCTTCTTTTATAACTTCACTCAGTATGTGCCGTGGCTCAAGGAAAATTCTATTAGTGTCCTGTTAATCAAAGTTTTCTAGAAGGTTCCAGCTGTAAGCAACAGAACCACAGGAATGGGGATCTATCCTGACAGTAGAGTAGTAACAGACGGAGAGAAGTAAATAAATAATACGCTTTCACATTTTTCCTTTTTCATTCCCATGTATTCCTTTATATGTATGTAAATATATATGTATTTATTTATGCATTTTTAATGGCATTCCTTTTTCCTTTCAAGCCTAGTCTGCTCAAAAGAAGGAAAGC